TAAGCGTTTATTTAATATTTTTAAAAATAATAGCTCATACATAAATTTATGGATAAAAATTTACTGGAATGACTTGAGAAAAACTTAATGAATAAGTTATACTATAAAATTGATTAAAATAAATGAAAAATAATTTATAAGTCATAAATTATTTTTTAAAAGTTATTGGTAATCTCTTCTAAATTAACCTTATATTATATTTATTTGAAACTCAAATATTCTTAAAGAATAAATTTTATACTAGAGAAATAGCTAAGATAAGTCATTCAGATAGAATTATCATATCATGTTTATTAAACAAATATATAATAAGATGGGATAGTTTTTTAATCTTTTCTCTTATTCTTACCATTAAACCTGCTTTTGAGTACTCTTTTGGTTCCATGTTCTCATATCATAAAAACATAAAATTTCCACATGCATCTACAATGAAATAATTGTTTTAATTCATATTTCACTTTGTTAATAATTGAAATTATAATTCATTTACTTTATGTTGAAAATTTTTTGCATCATAAATATCCTTTCTCTTTGAAATAAACATTAAACAGTGTTTAAGAAAATAAAATAGAAACTTTTAAATAAATATATTTATTGTATCACAAATAAAAAGTGTTTAGTATTTATTTGTTAAATAATTAAAATATTTAATAAATAATGTTTTATATTTCTAAATTGTTTACTTGATTAAATTAAACATTGAAGATATTCCATAACCTCAAAGTAAACTATTCACGTAATTCAATGATTAGAAATATTTTTACATTGTGTGAGGTAACCCAACTAAAAGTACTTTTGGAAAATAGTAACATCAGTATTAATTACAAGCTAAAAGTAATTAAACATTACTAAGAAAATATAGAAAAGTTTCATAAGATCAAATAGAAAAATTAAAAAACATTTTTTGGCAATAAAAACAGGAAGATAATGACCAAGGTAGGGAGCACATGTTGTTGTCGAATTTGTAGCTGGGCCTAGACCCAATAACAATCATAAGTGAACTTAGAAGGGTTCGTCCCTATTACTTTCTATATTGATGGGTGTTCTTAATAAATGGAGTGAGATTTGTCCTTGAATACATACGTACGTACTTTGTTAGTGTCATTACCATCATCAAGTTGTTGGAAAATTTAATATCAATAATTATTAATCTCTACCACATGAATTTAAAAGGAAGGGACAATGTTGAACCAAAGAGAATGGGATAAGGAATAGGGCAATTGACTTGCCCTCCAATATTGTTTTAGTATTGACTTTGAGGGCTACGGTGTACCACACGAAATGGTCCTCATTGGAAGCCTATGACTAAAAATCAGCTTGTTCAGTCCTTGCTTTTATAATTTAATCATTCAATTAGTATTCTTTACAAAATTTAATTAGCACGCATCGTGTTTCGAGCATTTTCATAATTACAACTTTTTTTAAGGATTATTTCAATTTCCCACAACAGTTAATCAACAAAACAAGATCGTTTAAGATAAACTGCATTTTATCCTGTTAAGAATGTGGATTAGTTGCAATATTCCACGTACCCTTGTTTAACACAACTCATTGTACTTTTCTCTTTTCTTCCCGTATTGTTGTTAATATTAACGGAACAAAACACACGTGAAGCCTAATAGAGAGGATATGAAGATCTTTCGTTAGAGAAAATGGTTTTGATATCATCTGTTTCAACCTCAAAATCAATTATGACTAAGACTTATTGAAAGTGTGTTTCCGTGACTGTTTTATTAGATTAATTTTTATGATGTGAATCAATTCAACAAATATTTTTAAATGATTTTAGAAGTTTTTATTTTAACTAAGCGATATTTTATTTGTAAACAACTGTTATTATTATGGATGAGTCTGGATTTTGTGATAAAACTGTTTTTGAAGGACTGAAAATATAAAATAAATATAAACCTAGATTAACCGCATGAGGATAGAATTGGAAAAAAATATAAATAAAAATTTTAGTTGTAGTTTGATGAGATTTAGAATTGAGAAATATTAATATATATATATATATATATATATATATATATATATTTGATAGGTTATAACATAACCTCTCTCAATTTGTAAGTTATGCAAGGATGAGTTAATATTACAATAATACTTGCATACTATATATTTGTAATTGCAAACAATGTTAAGCAGGCTTCACTCTCTCCGGGCTTGAAGTGACAGCCAGAAATGCACCTACTCTTGGAACTAGCCCAATTTCTTTGAATTATGGCAAGGCTACATCGGCAACAAAATAGCAAAGCATAATGGAAACAGGCCAGCTCGCATGTGACTGATCTGGTTTAAGTTTAAGTTTGATATAACCTAATATTTTAAATAAGACTTAAACTTTTTTTAAAATTTATTTAAATAAATAAGTTAAGAATGAACTGTTTATCAAACTTGTTAAGTCTAACAATATGATGTGTATATTTATATAATTTAAAAATAAAATTGTTAAAATATATTTAAATAATAAAGTTATTTAATAATATATTTTTTATATTCTTAATTCTGTTATTATTAAATTAATATATTATGTTATAATTTTTTATTTATAATTATAATAAACAAAAATTATATTATATTAAAAATTAAAAATATTTATACATGATTATATTTTTTAAATAATAAATTTATTTAATAATAAATTATCATGTTTGTTATATTTAAATAAGTTAAAAAATAGTTAAGTCTTTGAACAAGAATAAAACATAATTAAAACTAAACGAAATAAAATTTAAAAATAAAATAATTAAATTATATTAGTATATTGTTTAAATCTTTTTCTTTATAATAAATAGAAATTATATAAATATAGATTATATTTTATTTAAAACTAAAATTTTATAAAAAATATGATAGAAAAATAAAACAAAAATTTAATGTACAAAATAAATAAATAAATAAATAAATATATATATATATATATAATAGAATCATATAGTAAATAATATAATTTTAAATAAATTATGTATAATAATACATATTTTTATAATTTACTACGTGTTTTACCTTCATTGGTATAAATTTTTTTTGACTAAAATACTTATTAAAAAAATTTAGATATCAAGTCCATGTCAAACACCTAAATATAAATATATCAAATTTTAAATAATTATTTTATATTATATTTAAAATTAAAAATATTTATACATGATTATACATTAAAAAAATAATTTTTTTAATCATAAACTATTATATTTGTTATATTTAAATAGGTTGAAGTTTTTGAACAGAAATAAGACACAGTTAAAACTAAACAAATTAAAATTTAAAAATAAATATTAATATTTTATTAATATATTATGTTATAATTCTTTTTATTTATAATAAATAAAAATTACTTAAATATAAATTATATTTCATTTAAAATTTATAAAAAAATAATAAAAAAATAAAATAAAAAAATTATTATAATATATATTAATATATATATATATATAAATAATAAAACCATGTAGCAAATAATATAATTATAAATAAATTATATAATAATATATATTTTTGTAGCTTGCAGGTGTTTTAATTAAATTATTAGTTAATTTATTAATTTATATGTAATATATAAATATGTGTTTTAATTTATTTTATCAATAATATTTTTTATATTATATTAATGTTACAGTGTAATTAATTTTATTTTTATTTGTTAATTTAAAATAACAAATTAATGAAAAAAATAAAATTAAATATTTTATAATTATTTTTTAATTTAATATTTATTATTATTATCATTATATATATATTGCATTAAGTTTAAATTTATTTATTTTCAAAACATAATAATTTTTTTTAATTGATTCAACAAATTGTGTGAATGTTATTTTTTGTGATATATTTTACATATTCACTGTAACTTTATTTGTTAAATATAAAATTTCTTTAAACAAACAAAATATGTTTCTAAAATAAAATTAAAATCTTTAATATTTAAATAATTTTTAAAAAATAAATCAAGAGAAATATAAATATAAATTTTATTAATATAAATTATTTATAATTAATGTTTAAATAATATTTTAAAAATTATTTATAAAATTATATAAATATTATTATAATTATTTAATAATTATTAATAACAAATAAAAATTAAAAAAATATGTAAACTAATTTAATAATAAAATATTTATATTTTTATTAATATTAAAATATTTTTTTTGTAACAGGCTTTATTAATAGATTTCAAACTAGAACAGGCTAAAAATAATACTTTTAACAAGTTAGACCCAAAGTTAATAGTTATGTTATAGACCAAGCCTGTTTAAAGTAAACCATAACCTCACCTGTTTTCATCCCTATCATCACTCCTCCATTATAATGGTTATTTTTTTTTAGATCTTTTTTAATTTAGCCATCACTTTTTTTACATATTTTCTCAAAATAAAATTTTGAAATGTATTAATCACTTTTACTTTTAAGATTTGCTTAATATGATTCCATTTCTAAGCGAGAAGACCAAAGAATTGTAGACATGACCAACTAAAGAGGAGCCAACCATCAACGAGCTCATGCCTTAAACTTTCGTCTGTATGTGCCCAAACTCATAAAACAAAAGATAGAATGGATATTAAAGGTGCTTTATAAAATGTTTCTTGCATAATTCACTACCAAATTCCCCACAAATACTAATTATACATATTTAAACTAAAGATGCGTTTGAATAAGCAATTGAATTAAATACTTCGGTAAATTTTTATCACACGAAACTAAAATATAAATTTGGTTAAAATAGATTAAACATAGCGTCAACAACTACCCCAACATTTGCTCGATTCAACCAATTCTTTAACCTGAATCACCATACTCATGTTTCTGCTTTCACCAATGAAATCAAGAAGCTTTCAAAACAACACGCTAGGCAAGAACTAGCACCTATCATGAGGAATCCAACAATAGCACCTATTACTCTCAAAACCTGATTGCTTTTTATTCTAAGAAAAAGCCAGAACATGATTTTGTGGCATTAACATGTATTAAGCTTCACATTACCCATCATCATCATCAACGCAACACCATTGTTATAGTCACCTCTCCAATTTGAATTGAATCGGTTTAAATTTTTAAATTAGAACAACAACACAAGCTGAGCCCTAATTTCTATTCTCTATAATATTAATTTTACACCATTTAAGAAAAAGCGACAAATTTTAAATTAAATAAACAAAAAAAAAGAAGAAGAAACAATTCATCTTCAGTTTATGACTTACAAAGCAAAACCCTTCAAGTATTCAGGGTCACGCTTTGCCCGTTCCTGAAACTTCTTGAACCACCGATCCAAAATATCCATGGGAACAATCAACTTGGACCCATCGACGCCACAAAACGATTGCATGAAATTGAAAAGGTTCTCCCCAACCTTCATCGCTAACCCTTCGATTCGCTTCTCCGCCGCTACGTCCAGCGACGGCAGCGACGCCAGATCCTCCACCGACACCCCGATCTTCGCCGATAGCGGCTGCGCGTCCGCCGTCAGCTGCAGCTGCCCGTCAGCGCCAGGCTCCGGCCACGCCAGGGTGAGAACGGCGGAGGGACGCGTCACCGTGACGGCGCCGCAGAAGACGAAGGGCGATCCCGGCGACTGGATGTAGACGGCGAGAGCCTTCTCCGGCGGAAGGGTGAAGCTGTTGAGGAGGAAGATGCAGAGCTCGCGAACCTGATCGTACGCCTCACCTGCGCAGGTTAGAAAGTTAAGACAATTGTAGGCTAACTTGCGCCGGATGAGTAGAATATGTGAATATGTGTACCTACGAAAGTGTTCATGTCGAGAACCCAGTGGAAGGTGTCGATTTGGGAGAAGGTTGAAATGTCCATAGGGAAGCTTCGGTTTGGAAAAACTACTCCGAACATGTTGAGAATCTCTTTCTTCTGCGTGGGCTCACAATATTTGAATGATGCAGATTCTTCAGATGCAGTGGTTTGAGTGTTCTGCTTCTGCACTGCTTCAAAGGTAAAGAAAGGAGCAAAGAAAGAGAGAAGCCTCGTGCTTTGCTTAGAACATTCTGGATATACCTGGGCACAGAAGCGTCTTTTCACTTCTATATAACGAAGATCATTTTTATTTCCGGTATATAAAAAAGAGTTTTTTTAATCTTTCTATAAGTTTTTTATAAAAAAAACACACAATTATTATATTAAAATTATAAAATATAATAAATGTTTTTAATAAATATTTATCATCATTAATTATTTATTTCTTAATTTTTAGACCTGAGATTAATAAAACTTATAATAAAATTTATTATCTGTTAATTTTTAACATTCCCAAATACATATTAAAAAAATCATTAATTTTTATATCAAAATATGAATTTAATCTTAAAAATGATGAATATAAATTTAATCTTTTAAAATAAATAATTTAAATTTTTATTATTAAGTAATCAGTGTTAAAAGATAGTTAAACAATTAAAATTCAAGACATCATTATTAATTTTATATAATATTTTAAAATAATATATTAAAATATAATTTTTGAAAAAAATAAAAAAATAAAACTCAAAAATCATCATTAGTAATTTTTAGTATTAGTGCAAATATTTAAAGATAAAGTAGTTAAAAATTAAAAAATAAAATAAAATGCTAACAATAGTATGTGATAATTTCTTAAAAAGTTATAAATTACTAAAAATTGTCATTTTCAAAAAATTATAATTTTTTAAAGTACTGATTTTTTGCAAATTTTTATATTTTTATAATTCTTCTCAAAATCTTATATTTTAGGATTTAAATTTTTTCTCACATATATAAAAAAAAAAAAGTGTCATTATGAGTCTATATTCTTCTAATCACTATTAAATTTTTTATTTTCTCTCTTATTTTTTCATTTTTTTTTCTTTTGCTTCGTAAGTTCTGCTTTTCTAATTCTAATTTCTAAGCATAACTTTCTTTTTCTCCCATCTCCACATTCAACATATACTCTTTAAACTGCTTCGTTATCGTTACTTTTTTCACGACCTGGCTTTATTTTATCTTTTGATTATTATTGGTAGTATTAGAGTTACATGCATTTTTAAGTATCTATAAATATAATTATAATTTATTTAATTTTAATTTTTTGGTTAAATTTAGTTATCATAAATATTCAAAAAATAAAAGAATGTTTTAATGATTTTAATAAATATATTAAAAATTTTATTAGGACAAGTATTTATATAAAAATTTCAAATATTCTCTAAATTTATAAAAAAGTATTGACGGTTGAGATTAAGAATATAATTTAAGTATTGTTATCATGATAATTGTTTTCGTGTTTGAGCCGGTCCGGTCCGGTCCGGCCGGTCCGATCCGAGTGGGGTTGCTTGTAACATAAAGGAAAGTGTGAGGCACCGTTTCGTTTGTCTGCGTTACAAGTTGAAGTCGCGTTCCAAGATTGGCAAACATATTGAGCCTCGGAAGCTAGGGTTCTTCACCGCGTTTCAACCTTCTTCATTCACAGCCCTACCAATTGGTATCTTTTCTGCAACTCCTTTCTTCCTTACCTTTCCCTCTTCATCGCCCCCTTTCTTTCCAAATCCCTAATCTCAATTTCGATTTCTCTTTATTTCCTTCTTGGCGCGCTTCTGCCATTTCTTTTAACCGCTTTCATTTGTAAATTTATCACACTAACTCGTTCACGCAGGTACCTAATTTTCTTCTCCTTAGCGGATCTATTTTAATGTAATTCGTGAAAATTTAATTTCAAAATATATAAATAAATAAATAATCCTCTAATGCGGGTACCTTTGCTTTAAGATTTTTGTGTCAAATTAGCCTTCTCTTTGAAATTGAAAAACAAGTCGGGTCTGCTTGTGCTTGAAATGAAACTGTAAGCTTTTCATTTGTTTGCTTCTTGCTTCATTATGCTATTCTCTCTGTTATATATTATAATTATAATTCTTGTTGTTTTGAATTTTCACTGTTTTGTTCTGTCCTTTGCTGTAGGAATGGGATTGTGACTTCATATCCGTGCTAGGAGTTGACATTTTGAAATTCCAACTGTGGGAGCAATAGTATACATTGTGACCCGTCATGGAGATACAGACTTGTGGTAGGCCAATTGATTCTTTGCTAGAGAAAGTCCTTTGTATGAATATTCTGTCTTCTGATTACTTCAAGGAGCTCTATCGTTTAAAAACATATCACGAAGTTATTGATGAGATCTACAATCAAGTCGATCATGTGGAACCGTGGATGACGGGCAATTGTCGTGGCCCTTCGACTGCTTTCTGTCTGCTTTACAAGTTCTTTACTATGAAGCTCACCGTCAAACAAATGCATGGGCTGTTAAAACACCCGGATTCTCCTTACATAAGAGCGGTATGTCCATGTGCATGACAATGTATATGGGACTTTCCTGATTTTTTTATGTTTTAAGTGGTGAAAACATTCTGTATTCGTTATGGTAAGTGTGTTCGTATATGTAATATTTGTTGGTTTGTGGATATTTTTATGACCGTTTCTAATCAAATTTTGGAACTGATGATGTATGCTTACGTTGATAGTTAGCCATCTTGTGTTTCAAGAGAAGATAAATGCGTGAGACAATTTGGTCACATTTACGATCTTTCTCTCTCTGTGTGCTTGTGACATGCCCTCTCAATTCTCTGTGGTATCTCAATCTTGACAATATTGGTCAAATGTCAATCATGAATTATATTTATCATTTAATTATGTGTCATTGATTAATCTTCTGATTGGTCTCACATGAACTTACTATTTTGTTTTCTAGCATTCTGAAATCTTAACTTTTCTAAACGATGGCTTTTTTGAATTTTTTCACTTTCTCTCTAGTATATATGGAAATATTGGACCACCATTCTAATAGATTTTAGCACCTTATCATCTGTAATTGTAGTTCTTATTTTTTATATTGTTCTCTCTTTATGTACATATTAACCTTGCCAAGCATGGGGTAAGAATGTAATCCATACGTGGTCAGATTAGTATCACTTGACATGCACAATGTGTAGTCAATGCTCATATTGAACATGGTTAATGCTGGTTTAGCAAGGGCAGGTGTTAAAATCTTGGGTCAAATGGATGGTGTAATGGAATGGAGGAGAATGTGGATGATATAGAATATACGTTTAGTTACATACTTACGTGTGATTAAACAATGCTCTTAGGCCTCAACCTGCCAGATTGAGTTTGTCAGGTTGGTTTGATGTTTTTCCCCCAATGTAGAATTTCCATTTTTCTGTTTTAATGTTTTGCAGTCTGTGAAACAAGCATACAGTTAAGGAGACATATCTTCCTGTGCAGTAGTAGCATCAATTTAGGCAACGGTTCTGAGTTTATCAAGATGGGGTGGGTATTTACAACATAGAAATGCTGATGTTCCTGTTCAAAAGTTTAAGGAAATCCACAGCATATATGAAGAGAATGAAATAGTGGGATCTAATAAAGAAGAATATGGTTGTGAAATAGATACTTGAGTGAACAAGTGTTGAGAGAAGAGCACTGCACTTACTGGAGAATTTGATTCTCTTAGCTGACACAATGTTTGGGTTGAGGTTTGCTGTTATTTTCAATTAATTTTTTAGGGCGTTGTGGTGTGAGAGGCTGAGAGCACAGCCAGAGGTTTCTTTTTTACATTATATCTTTTAATGGAGGTATTTGAAAGGATAGTGATGTTATGTACCTAGTGTGAGGGGACCAATCTGTGTTGGGAGTTATTTACCGAAAAAGGTTTACATGGGGTCTAGAGTCTAGTAGTTGTCCAATGGTTTATGGAGTGTTAGAATTAACTACTAAGTAGTGTGTGATTTTGAACTTGGCAATCTCATTTCTAAGTGTGGATCTTTACCTTGTATTTTTTCTTCATAGATATTGAAATGGTCATTTCTGTATATTGATAGGCTATCCGTTTTAGTTGTTAGTATGACTGAAACTGTTTCTATATCATGCTGAACATGGTAGTCAAAATACGATCTTATGTAGGATCGGAAAGGGGGTCAAAGATCGTAACTCATAGGATCATAATATGGATCGGAAGATCTTACAAAATTGTATGTATGCATATGAAATAATATAAGTATGAAAATGAGGGAAGCAAATGAAAGACACGAGGGAAATGAGTCATCCTCAAAATATGAGACAGATACATGCTCACTAAAAACAAAGACACAGATATAGATGAGAGAAGAGAGCTTAGAATAAGAGAAAAGGATAAGGAAAATGAGTTAGGTGATGTATTATAAAAATTGGGAAAGAGACATTTTACTCTTAAAAAATAGAGTATTTTAAGGGCATAAAGGGGAAGTCAGTTTATTTTTAAAAGATAAAGTCCTTTTTACTCTTAAAAAAAACCTAAAAACTGCTTTATTTTGGGTAGAAAGGAAAAGGCAACATTTTTACTCTAGCAAGGGCAAAATGGGAAAGTCAGTTTATTTTTAAAAGACAAAAAGTCTTTTTTACCCTTAAACTGTAAAAACTGCTTTGTTTTGGGAGTTGAAAGGGAAAGTGAACATATGAAATCACTTTTACTCTTAATAATAATTTGATTCTCTGGGGCATCAAAATAGATTTCCTGTGTTCTGTGTGGACAAATAGATAATTTGTCAGGACTGTACTTGCATCTTGTTTTCCCTTTGTGTTGATTTCTTTTATTGTTTGCAGATTGGATTTCTCTATCTGAGATATGTGGCTGATTCGAAGACTCTATGGAACTGGTTTGAGCCTTATGTGAAAGATGACGAGGTATGATGACATGGTTATGATCTTTATGGCATTGGAAGTCTGTAATGCATTGACATTTATTAGTTTCTTGGATTACCAATCTTTGTCTTACTGTATTCTAATAGTTTATTTTTTCCATAGATTTTACTTAAAATTAATAGATTATTGCCTTCTTCCATTTGTGTGTACTTTCCCCATGCCTTGCATGGGATTTATCTGCAAGAGGTTTTGATTAAAGTGCTGGAGCCTGGATATAATTTTTTTTTCTGTAATATTCAATTTTGCATTTGTCTAACCACTGATTATATCATTGCTTATATGGAGCATTGCTAATAGCATGTCCTGTGAAATGTTTTGTGCACAAGGTTTTCTCATATGATATTTTTCAAATGAATCTATCCTGGGTAATTTGGTATATTTTGTGTCCATGTCTTCCTTTTCTTTGGAAGATAGATACTTGTTTGGGATTCAGTTGTCTTGTATTATCTCCTTTCTTGGGATATCATTCAAAGTGCTACTGTGGCTGTAAGCAATATGTAAAATTTTATTCATTTTAAATTATGATACTGTATTTCAGGAATTTTCTCCTGGATCTAATGGTCGAATGACTACAATGGGTGTATATGTCCGTGATTTGCTCCTTGGACAGGTTTGTTATCATTAAATCTTTTCAGGCTATATTTTACATAAGAGCATGCTTCCTGGTTTAATCTCTTTGGACTCATGCTTTCATTTTGCTTGTAGACAATGAAATGCATTTACTTGATAATTGGCAAATTATGACACTTTGATTTAAAGATTTTAAAATGTATGCCACACAATGGCAAGGGAAAAAAATGACTCAAGTATTGACTATTTAAACTGAGAATTCTCTCTTCAGAGCTCTCCTACCAGAATCCAGATGCATCACAAGATTGCAATGCAGATATGTTCCTCATCGTCCCATAATTTGGAGTAACAGTATGAGGTGCTTTCAGTATCTTTGGACATAAAACTTCTATACCTACCAGTAATTGCTGATAAGAACTAGTTCAAAAGAATCTTCCTTTTTTTCTCTTTCATTTCTTTTTGATTGCATGCTCATGAAGGTTGTTTTCTCATTTCTAAAGCCTTACAATGAGGCTTCCAGCAAAAAAAAATTGAGTATTTTTCATGTAGTTGCTTTAGTGTAGAATGGTAACCTCTAGACATGCATGTTATCAATTTAGAATTTCAGATTAGTTTGTTCTATTTATCTTCGAGTCTTTTAGTGTTATCCCTTTTAACGCGTAATTTCTTTGAAGCCACGGAGAAGGATTTATTCAGATAATTTTTTTCCTATTTGACACCGTGTCTTCAATCGTTGTAACCTAATTCTTAATACTTGGTACTCACCTGCCATCCTTAAAAAGTGAAACTTCGGAGATTCAGTGTCAAGAATCATCAAGTTTTGATTCTATTATGATTTGCTGATATCTTTCTTGTTCTGAGGTGCAAATGAGATTTTGTCTTAGAGTTTCTGTGTAAGGGCTTGTTGGATCACAAACTTGTTTTATTTCTTATTGTCATTTTCATTTTGATTTTCTGCTGATGAATTTCTATATGATGTAAATTTAATATTTACTTGAATTATATGACATCCAACGTTCAAGCTTGACCGAAACTCACATAAACATTCTCTCAAACAGGGGCTTGAACCTCATTTTTTTTCTTTGGGTAGACTGAATGTAGTGATTTGATGATTTCTTGTGTCAATTAGCTATGCTGCTAGAAATGTTATTGGTAACGATAAAAAATTATCCGTTTTTTTGCTTTTCTGATTGCAAGGGTGTATTGTAATGCTTATTATTCACTTTTTTAATACGTGGCATTGTAAATTGTGAAGCAGTACCTAGGATTTATTAAAGATAGATACAGGTGCTTATGATGGCTTTTGTTGAGGGGAATGTAAATGTACAAAACCCTTTTTACCCGAATGACTGAGTTTTCTAGGGTGGGGAGTTACTAGACCTCCCGTGCACCAGAAATTTGATGTCTTATAAGGTATCTCAAGGATTGAAATTTGAATGATTGGTTCAAACTTATGGATACTTTTGGTTCAAATGAAGAAGGAACAAGTACAAGAACTGAAATATCTGATTAATTTTAATGCATGGATGGATTCTGGAGAGAAGCACATAAACATACAAAATAATCTTGTTCTTCCTATTCTTTTGTTTTTTTTTTTTTCATGAATAGCTAGTATTTATATCAATGTTTGCTGCTTCTTTGGTTAAGAGTTTATTATCACTTCATGGTGGTTGTCATTTTTGTTAGTGTATTTATTGATGTAATATGATTTTGGGAATGTTGTGCATGCGGCACAATATGTCTTAGTCGACAGACTTAAATATTGCAGTTCCTAAATTTTATTTTACCCCTTTGATTCCAGATTATTTAACTATAAATTAAGTGAGTTTCTTCTGCTGTTGCAGTATTACTTCGACACATTGTTTCCTCGCATTCCTGTTCCTGTAATTCGACAGGTTGTCACTAATCTTGAAAAGTTGAAGCTCCCCTCTACACATTCTGGTTCAACAGGGGAATCCACTCGTCACGGTTCTGATGATACTGCCCGTAGGCCACCTTCTGTTAAAGCTGCTCTTTCAGTCTCTTTTGGTCAAAGGGCTCCACATCGTGCCTCCACAAGGGATTCTTCACCTATTCGCCGTACATTACCTGGTCCTCATGAAAGAAATGGCAGTGATGACATAAGAAGATCTCCAAGTAGTCGCCGTAGCCAGAGCCGTGAATATCCTGACAGGGATAGAGACCGCGATCGTTCACGGTCCAGGGACAGGGACAGGGATCGAGACAGATCACGGTCCAGGGACAGGGATAGGGATCGAGACCGTGCTAGGGACAGAGATAGGGAGCGTGATAGAGACAGATATCGTGACCGAGATCGGAACAAGGACCGGGACCGTGAAAGATACAGGGATCGTGACCTGGATAGGGATCAGGAGAGGGATAGAATCAGGAGGGATAAGGAGCGGGAAAGAGAGAGAGAGCGGAGTTATGATTATGACAGGAGGTCTAAGTACACAGAGAGAGGAGGCAGCCGGGATTATGACAATGGTAGTAGGCACTATCGGAGTAGGAGCAGGAGTCGGAGTAGAAGTAGGAGCAGGAGCAGAAGTCGAAGCCTGCAAGCTGGTACTGCACGGATTGAATCCCGTTCAAGTCCACAGAGAGATGGAAGTAAGAAAACTTCTGCATCCAGTAATCTAGCTAAACTTAAAGATATGTATGGTGATTTAGGGGATAATAAAGGAGATGCCAACATGGAAAGAATTCCTAAAAGGGATAGTGGAAGCGAAGAGGTTATTAGACTTGGCGGTTCTACTTGGAAGTATTGAAAGATATCATAGAATGCTTGTATCAGATGTTGGATGACCTTCGCGGAAGAGAAAAAAAATATTTGATTAGCCCTAATGTTGTCTTTGTCTGTTGATAGACAGATGTTTAGATTGGTGAATGCTATCTTTATTAGCATATATAGATGATGTATACTAAAATTTATTCCTGGTGCATTGACTTTCATGCTTTGTAATTTTAGACTTAAGATCATTCTATGTTAAGTCCTGAACTACCGTGCTTACATTGATAGTTGAACCTATTTTATTGCGTTTCGGACAATCAATAATTTAAGGATAATGTCTGCATTTTGCAATGCCGTTAGGAGGAAGATTGATAAGATACTCCGATACCCCATTATAGTATGCTTACTGTAGGACATATTGCCGTCTAGGTAACATTGATGGAAAAGCTTCAATACTAATGGCGAAAATTTAGAATGTATTATAATTTTGTGAGGCGTTAATGGTTGAGTATTAACATTATTACAAAATATCGAACAAATAGAATAACCAAGAAATCTGAAAAATTGACAGTTTCTCTATCTTGTTAGTTTGCAACATTCTGCCTTCTTTCTCAGGTATTTTACCTCCCCTAAAGTGAAACAATACGATGCTGTAAACCTAAATGCAAAAAGCTTCTATATTTCCAGGAAAAAGAATCTTCAGTTACACTCTTGTCATACATGTTCTGTCAGACTATGTGAAGCACTGATAGAAATCTGGTTGAAGGCATTTGCGTAAAGCACTTAAAGCTCTTTCAAATTTTCCCCTACTATTTTTTGGCAAATCATTTGCTACAATAACTGAGGACAATAGAGGAAAAGTTTCTGTATCACTACAACAAAGGAAAAAGGAAGCGTTTGGGTTGCTGCCAGTAAGCTTCAATTATTCACATTTGATAGAACGATAAATGTGACGGACAAATATCAAAGAAGCACGGAAACCCACAGTTCCAAGCATGAGAAAGAAACCATAGCAAATGCAAGCCATGTAGCCAAAAAAGAAAGAGGTTTGCATGAAGCCAGACATATCTGATCTTGCATGATAGTAATACATGCAGTACCCATATATGAACAAACCAGTTGATCCACCACAAAGGAAAGACCTAATATTATGCCAAAAACAAAGTAGTTAGAGAATGGAGGAACATGAATTACGTCAAAGTGTACCCCAAATTCAAATTGATAAACAAGGAAAATAACAAGAGAACCATGATGTTACAGCATACATACCTCCACCACCATTCATGATCCTCAGTAGCAAGCTGAAAGTATGTCAATGCCACAGTGACAAAAGCTGTCACAATCAAGAGAATGATGAAAACAATAAACAAAATACTGTATATGGTGTAAATTTGGTGACCCCACACACTAGCAAATATGTAGTAGAGTTCAATGTAAATGGCACTGAATGGCAAAAATCCTGCCATAGCCATTTGAGCAAGAGTTCTACGGTACCAAGGTAGTTGAGGGATCTCCCTAGGATACTTATTGGTGCGGCAAGGAGCCTGAAACTCTGATTGGGCATTCTTACCAGCTATCCCACCCAGTACTAGTAAAGGTGATGTTACTAGTGTCCATATGAGGAAAATAACCATTATTGTTCCAGATGGAAGTGCTGCAGTTGTGTTATAGGCAAGTGCAACAGTATTAAGAAAGCAGAATGTCAAAAACAAAGGTCCAGAGAATAGACTTCCAGTCAACACCAAAATTTTCACCTGTCATCAAATCACAAACCAAAACTTCATTAGTGTACTTTCATTTGTTTTAACTTTTAAGTAAGGTAAGACAACAACAGGAAGAAGAAACTATGACATTAAATTTAATATTATGTCAGCCTAATCAGAATATTGACTAGTAAATAAAAAAAAAACTAATCAAGAATCTGTTTGATCCATGTAAAAAGTCATGAAGTTTCAAAGCCAGCAAACAACATAATATGCTGATATAAGTAGTTGTTCAGAGACAATGACATGCTTAAGGTGAACACTGAACTGAGAAAAAACAAGGTCTTGAGTGATGCACTAATGGTATATATACTGCATAAGGAGTGGTGATTACCCAGTCTTTCCCTTCAATCATGTAATAGAAGGAAGCTGCAGAGTAGCCCGCGATGCCAGACGTTAGTGCATATATGACAATCAGTGCAGTAAAGAGAGATCCTCTATTGTATGGATAGAAAACACCAACTAGGGCAAGCATAAAAATGAAGATTGCACTGAAAGCAGGAGCATATATACATGGTCACCAAAAATAGCTGAACAATACAAGGCTTTAAAAGACAATTACTTGTGATGGTAACTCGCTCACAGTGTAAATAGCTGTGTGCCTATTCCAAGTGCTGCTGCAAACAAAGACTTGCATCTTGGGTACCTAAACACATCGCCATGGATATACTTCCATCCACTTTCTTCTTGGTCATCAACGGCTTCCTCATCAGGAGTGAACCTGTCACGTTTGATACAATAAATTCCTCAAATTAAATCCGTGAGAGTAGACACTGCTGAAATTGACTAAATGAATGAGAATGATTCTTACTTAACAAAATCATTCTTAAGCACACGCATGAGAATTATGGCAAGGAATCCAGTCAAGAGGAGAACAGTGACACATGAGTTAATAATAGAAAACCAATGGATTTCCAAGTTATGTGACAGTGAGGATGTTTGTGAGTATTTCTCCAGCCTCTTTTCAAATGGAATATCTGTTTCGGTCCATTTGACAGAATATGTGAAGTCCACATCTATTTCTCTATCTGTTGTTAGGTCCACAAGTGCATGTGGATCATTTCGAATGAAAACGTCAATGATGCGATCCTTATTGTATAGAATCTCAAAATGGATGTGCTTAAAAAGATAGACTGTGGCCCCAGTTGGATCATCTTTGTCTTCACTGTCAAATTTTCCTAGGAAACCCCAAATGGGCAAGTCATCATAGTACATCTGATAAAAGTAGTCCTTCAACACAGCATGTCGAAATTGAGCAACCTCTTTTCTTGTCAACCTCTTCTTGCAAAAACTCTTTGGTTCTCTATCAATTTGGAAATCCAGTTTGTAAGGAGCAACAACTAATCTATCCCCATTCAAAACTTCACCAAGATCTTCTTTCTTTTCTTCCACATTAGCTGCAACGAACACATTTTGGAATTATAAGGATAGCGGAAACCAATAACAATAGTAGGAAATGGACGGAAAAAAGGAATGGTACAAGCAAACTAACCTGGTGAGCAAAAAGGAAGATCAAAATATCGGTATGTCTCACTGTGGCATGAAAAATAATGTCAGGGAAAGCACAGAGAGCAAACAAAGTCACCTATTGTGAAGAAGAATTCATGATAACTAGGCTTCAAAAATTAATACATGCATTAGACCATTTTAATTTTCACTTTTATACCTAGGGAATAAAATCCATGAATTTAGTAGTCCTTCAGCGGAAAGAAAAATTTGCACTGTTTTTCTTGGTCAGAAAAATCATAACTTGATTAGAACATTAGAAATCCAGAGCTATACATCAGAACTTTACTTGATTGCCAAGACAAGTCTTTATTAAGACAATTTAAAGGTCAACTCTGCCAGCGTAATCACTTGGCTTCTCTAAATTTCCATTGAACACTGCCTACAATTTCTGAAGTTGACGTTGAAACAAAGAAAACTAATATCTCCAATTTTGAGTTTCTACAATGAAATTGAAAGTATTCATGACTAGTATCATAGTTTCTAAGTTACATTCATTTCCTCTTCATCCACCTTGAAGAATTCATTCAATCATCACTCAAACAACTAGCTTTCACTATTAAAAGAAAAACATGATTCAATGATCCATTCCTTCCTCAGGTACCAACGTTTTTTCACAGGTTCCAAATCCACATCATATGATGAAGAGGTCATTTGATCTTCATTACATACAAATCGAAACAACACTTGGCAATAAAAGAACCCAAATCCCAGAGCAAATCTCATTCTTAAAATGGTCACCCCAGGTAACACAACCAACCCAACATTTTTTTTAATATCTTTTCAGGATCATTGGGAATTGGTGAAAGTGGGAGTGACAGAGATTGAAAATCTGACCTGGGATTGTGAAAGGGTCCCACCTTGTTGGCATAAAAGGGGACGAAATCTCCTTTCTTGTAACGATGATCTGATGCATCAGATGTGACATGGCTTATGCAACACCACAGGATCACAATTGCACCAACCAAACATGCCGTTGACTTTCCCATACACACATACACAGATTGAAAGAGAAGCAAAGGAAAACTCTATAATGCAATGCCAATGCCAAATAAGTGCATGAAAGAGTGGGAGAGAATTAGAATAAGAAGAAGAAGGAATTTCCACGCTACTTCCTTCAACCAAAAGAAAAAATAAAGAGTTGAGAAGATTTGAATTTGCACGCACTTGTTACATGGTATATAAGGGATGATGGTTGTTTTCTAAGATGTTGAAAATGAATCATCTTCGTGAATAGGGAATGATTACAAGTACGTGCCTAACATGAACAAATGGCACAATGACATCATGCCTCCACTCTTAGGTTTCGACAACATATGTATATCCGTCCACTCATGTTATTTCACAGAGACAAGGTCATTTTTCTTGTGGTTATAATCACAATTCACCACTTGTTCTTTACCTTGTAGTACGCATAACAAACGGTCAAATATCAATTGTTACCCCCTTATGACTTGTTTCTTAAATTGTTAAACTTATTTTATTAACTGTTATTTTCATGAATAAACATTTGAAGATTAATTTATCTAGTATAATCAACAGAGAGTCAATGTTTAACAACTTATATCTAAAGAAAATATGAGTAGTGTAATAATACCCTTCCATTCAAAAGCTTAATGTGACCACTTTCTTCAAAATGAAAAGTTTGGCACTCTGGCTTTGTGAATGAGTGGAGTTAGGTAATATTACATTGATACTGGATTTTGAATTGAGGGAGAGTATATTTCACAATTCACACCGGCCGGAATCATATATTTAATTTAAATACCATGTTATTTAATGATGCATTCCACATTATTTGATAAAACTAATTTCATATAATATTTAATTTATTAAACGATAATGTAAAAAAATATTTTCACATTGCCGACGCATTAAAATCAAACTCATATTAAAAATAAAAAAAGGATTCAATCTATAAATAGAAAAATACTAGCTAGTACACCTTTTATGTAGAAAGTTGATAAAACTATGAAAGTTTTATACTTGTGTGTTTCTCATCCTAGAAACAATGAAAAAGAATGTATAGTTGACATTTTGAGTTGAAGGTTGTCCACTAAACTGCACGTCTATAACCTCCGATCACCACTGAAAAATAATATAATATAATAT